CTGGCTGCCCTCGCTTTCAATTTACTCTATCTAGCCATGCCAATGGTATTCAACTCTTTGAAGACCACAACGCCCCAGACGGCCTTTCACTCAAATGACCACAACCGCCCGAAACGGCCGAAATTCCGATATTGTTTTCTTCCTTCCCCTAAGGTATACAGTAGCAGGTGCAGTTTCCCCAAATGCGTTGTATCAGTTTTTTGCAGACAGCTTGTCCTAAAAAGATTTATTTGCGATTCCTTATCTCTTTTTGTTAGAAATAGAAAAGATGTCATTTGAAATCTTCACTCTTCTTTGTGCGTTAATGGATGAGGAGGGGATGAAATTGCTGTGACTCTCGAAGATCATTTCAGGCGATTCGGTATATTAATATGCAGGTTAGGGAAAGCTTCGGTTTTCAAAGAGTTAAAAGATTACAATCTATAGCATCTTTGGAATGTTTACTTTTTTTTTTTTCAGCATCTGATTTTATTCCCAAAATCCCGATGTTTACTGCTTTCTTTCCTTGAAATTTAAACATCTTTGACATTTTTATTCCTTATAGTTTTCTATTGGTACTGAAATAGGGGGAAAGAAAGATTTATAACCTCCCATTCCAAATCGATTTAAAGTGTATTGAGTGGCTTTCTCTGCAGCATGTTTTTTTCGTATTTATATTTTTCTGAATTTTGGCGTCGCAACCATTCCCGCGGTGACATATTAGTCTCATACTTTTAATGTTTACTGACCAGAAGGGCAGTCTAGCAAAGCAGGAAGCAGGAAAGGTGAAAAATGAGCAATCGCCTTCGTCGGGAATCGAACCGCGGACCTCTGGATACCGGCCCAGGGTGCAGAACCACTAACCACGAAGGCACGCTAGGAAGGGCGGGAGAAATACCTTATATACTCCCCCTTTTTAAAGGGAGACTGCGGTTTTTAAGGGACTCAATCGCCAAATCCTGGGTGGGAAGAAATCACCATCTACCACCCTCTTAGTTCGGGCACCACTGTAGAGACATTAGGCATTTTTTGGAAGCAGGAAAGGTGAAAAATGAGCAATTGCTTTCCCCGGGTATCGAACCACGGACCTCTGGATACTGACCCAGCGTGCAGAACCACTACACCACGAAGACACGCTAGGAAGGTACGAGAAGTACCTTATACAGTTTAGTAAAAAATTCAGTATTCAATAATATTAAATTAATTAAAAAAATAGTTAAAAAAAAAAAAAAAAAAACCGGTCCGACATTTGCTTTTAGATCATGAATTCGGCAAGTATAAAATTTGAGTTTGAGATCATTAGTCTATAACAGGGTTTCTTAAACTTTTTGGTGTGGGGACCACCTAATATTTAAGAAAATTTTGAGGGACGCCATAAGCATTGCGAAATCCGTCACACGCGTGAGTTTACTTATACTGTAATACACTATTGCAGTTTTAGGTCAAATTTAAAAAATAAAACCAAAGTTTCTACTATAAAAAAAATGCTTCGAAGCATTTACGTTTTTTCTTTATCTGTATTGTCTTATCTTTATCTATTTTCAGATATATTATGTAAAAATATTTGGTAATTGTAAAATTATTATAATAAGTTAAACAAATGTCAAAACTGCTAAATTTTTGGCAACCCCCTACTACAGGTACTGTGGTCTATAATATATCTCTCTCTGAATCTGTGGAATTCTCTTAATATTCTATATGTGTATATAATTACATATCTATGAAAAAAGGTTTTTATTATCGCAAAAACAATTAAACTCCATACTATTTTTTATAACTGTACATTTGATAATTTTTTTCATTTTAAACACTTGATTCATTAACGCATTTGATTTATTATCTCCACATATATTTGATTTATTATTATATTACACGTTTAACAGTAAATTTGAACTTTACGAGAAAAAGTAAGAATTGTGTTTATGAGTGAGTGAATAGGAATGAATAAGTTGTCAGAGAAGTACAAATAAAACAGCGAAAAGATTGCTTTTATTTCTAACAAAAATGCATGGTACATAAAAACGTTTGAAGACAAAACGTGAAATGAAGTGGAGAACAGAATACATGTTGCATAGTTATACTGATGTAGATGTTTTATGAGACAGGTGTTTACGTGACTTCTATCGTTTTAATAGAAGAACGAAACAGCTTGTCTATAATGGCACTTAGAAGAAAAGACAATCAGCGTTACAAACACATGTTAACATACATAATATGTGTTTCATTCCTTGTCTAAGATATGCGATTTTAATATTACAAGCACTTTAAATTGGACTAGTTAAAAATATTTCGTAAAAATTAGTATTTGGAAAGCAATAATGCTAAAAATTACCTTTAAAACTATATTCAAAATAAAATGTTTAAAAAACTTTTATGTATTTCACACTGCTTTATGAAATTAAATTTAAATGGGAATAAAATAAATATATTAATTTCGGTTTATATACGAACTATAAAAACTTCTTGATTGGAGTTAAATTACTTTCACGTATGACTGCTACAAATGAAATGTGTTATGACTTAAAACACTCCAATCTTGTGATATCAGGAAATAGTAGAAAGCAGTACTTCGAAATTTAAGCTATTAATTTTCCATATATTTATATACTTTTTAACACTCTCCAATTTCTTAAACGTTTTCTAAAAAATTATTGACATATTCAAGATAAGGTAGTTAGTTACGATAAAAAAATACGAATGAAACAAGTTTTTTGTAACTCGTGCTTTAACGCTGATTACTTTTCTTTAAAAGATGGCACATGACCCGTTCAGATGGCCACCACGTGACTTCTTAGGACACATGGCTTCATCCTATTTCCCCCTTACTTAATTAGGGCGACAGTGGTTTCAGTTATGAAGAATGATATTCACCAAAATATTTAATTAGGGGGCCTTATTCCGCGCAGGATTTAGTTACAATCAACTAAGAATGTTAATCAACAATACCTGTTTTTGCCCGTTTCCTGTTTTAGAATTTGATTACCCATGAAAATTGTTTTGATTGTAGCGTAGAATTGGGTGCTCCTTCGATTGGCGACAAATTTTGTTCAGTTTTGGCGATGAAACCCCCATTTCTGGTTACCATAACAGTTTTACTTGGTTTTAGCTTCCTGATTTTATTTTTAAGTGAAATCTTTCCTGGTGGCTTAATGGCAAACCGCACATTGCGTTGATCAATGTTAACGAATTTCGCTTACTGCGCATGCTCAATGACATACCCTGAAGTGAGAGAAAATACTGACGACTAAGCATACGCAATCCTACAGAAGCCTGTTCGTCATGTAGGTCTTATCAACTGTTTACAATTGCAACAGTCTATTTCATTTACTTATAATAATTTATTTGACCTTTAATTCAGCAATTTAAACTAGATTTAATCCTTAATTTGTTAAAGTATATACGAATGGAACGTATGCTAAATACTAATTGTTTTTATTCCTCAGAAGTATAATCAGCTAATATATCTTGTAATATTTCCTGTTTTGTAATTCTTTTTAAAAGAAAATTTGGTAGTTTACAATCGACATTTACACTCCAAGTAATGAAGCAGCTTACAACCTGACGCGTTTTAAATCCTCGAACTGTTTACGCCCAAGATAACAATATCAACCATATACCGTATTTATCTTCTTTTTAAATTGCGCCAAATTCTCTTTTGGGCATGCGCAGTAAGCGAAATTCGTTTAACATTGATCAACTCAATGTGCGGTTTGCCATTACACTTCCTGGTGTCGAACTTGGCTTCAAAAGATAATCGCCAGATAAACAAGGGACACCCAATTGTAAACTTTTACCATTGTTTTTAATTTATCAGAAGCAATGATTTGCTTTTACTTATACATCTAAGCAAAATTGTAGGAGACATTATCTTATCACAGCGACGTGTGAATTTTATTTAAAAAAACTGATAATTTCATGTATTATTTAATTTGAAACCAAATATTACGATAACAGCCCTTTGCTTTCTTTGCCCAGATAAGCAAATAAAAACAATCACCTAAAAATCTATTTTACTAAATTTTTAGTGATTCTAGGACAATAATTTACTTCGATAAGAAAAAGAATGAGTGTAGCATTGTCATTAGCGCTAATTTTATCATTTAAATCTCAAGTTTATTATAAAACATGGTTATTTTTACTATTATATCTTTAAGCTCTTTTAATTAATAAACATTTAATTTCAAACTTGCAAATCAGTTAAACTTGTCTATGCAAACGAAAAAAAAAAAAAAAAAAAAAAAAAAAAAAAAAAAAAACTTTTCCCCCTTTAAATTTTTGCATATAACTAGAGTTGCCGTTTTATTTCAAACTAAAAAACAGCATGCAATTTTTCTTTTATGGAAATAAGCTGCTCTCATCTTTTTTTTTTTTTTTTTAAATTGCTTATCTTATTTTTTTTTTTCTGATTTTCTAACTTTTTATCGCCTCATGATTGAGGTGTTAAAAATTTGTTAAATTATAAAATTTCATGTTGATTCTAAAATTCTAACAGAAGTAAAATTTACTAAATGAAATCTGATTAATAATAAATAATATTAATTTGTTGATAATAAATGATAAATAATCCAATTTGAAAGACATATTCTTATTTCATTTTTTTAATGCGGAAAGTACGGTGCAGTAAATGTTGCTATGTAATTTAAATTACAAGTTTAGGAAATACTATTAGTAGTATGCCTTTGAAGAGGAACAACTAATATAAATAAAAATTAACCTTAAAGTGTTACAATCAAATTAAGACTTGGTATTGTATACGTTTGTTTATTCCAAATTTTTCTGCCTAAAAATATCTTGCTTAAAATAAATTTTTTCCATGTTATGGAAATAGCGTTATTATTCACAAAGTTTCATAATTTTTTTACTTTGAAATTATAATGAAACAACTTCTTGCGAAGAAGTAAAACTTTAAATCACGTGATAATAAGATATTTCTTAAATTTGACTCAGGACACATGGCATCAACCTAGTAACAAGAACTGGTGTTTCAAACTGATACCACTGTTAACAGGCCATTAGATACGTTTTTTTTTTTTTTTTTTCTTTCTTTCAGTAAGTTGCCCAACGGAAATAAAAAAAGGCAAAAGAACAATAGAAAGACTTATAAGCAAATAGTACATCAGTTTCAGTACAAATTCAAATACGATATTAATAAAACTACTAAGGCACATTTCATCCATTTACAAAGACACTTAAAATTCACGACTTTTATACATTCACGGTAAAGCAAAATTAAATTGGAAATAACAACCAATGTTTGCCTTTTTAAGAACCTTCAGAATGATGATATTTGTTCAATAATGAACAATTAATGTGCGTTTTTATGTAAATGGATGAGGAGATACCTTAAAAGTATCATATGTTAGAAACTTGGGATATCTTCAATGGAAAACAAAATACATAAAATTGCTTACAAAAACATTTCTGACTGAAGCTACAGTTCACAGAATTTATACGTAGTAGAAACACATATATACAATAACTGAATGGAATATAGAACAATAACATTAGACTAAGCAGTCTTATACTCTAAAATTTAATTTGAAAATTGCAAATATAACAGTATTTTCCCTCAGTACTTAATTTTAATGTATTTTACTGGCTTATGTGTTATTTTTGTCATCCAAATACGAATAAGAAAAAATACGATCAAAAACTAAGGTAGAAATTACATTCTTCAATGGAAACATTAAGTGTAAACGTTACAGATTGGCAGTTAAAAGTCGAAAAATTCGTTTCCCTCAAAACACCTACAGTTTCAAAAAGAAAGATTACATAAATGGCAGAGTAAATGACTAAAATAAGCATTATTCCTTATTTTTAATCAGATATGGCTCAATATAATGTTATCTCTCAGCACACTTTTCTCATTTGGTGCCGGACATAACAGCAATTTACAAAAAAAGATGCACCGGTAAATTTAGTCGCATGTGCGAAGTCCTTTGGAAGGAAAACGTTGTTTCAGCATGGACTGACACTCATTGGTCTCGAAGTGGAAGCTGAAGATGAAAATCCACTGTCATCCTTAGAAACGTGAACTTCTGTCGTAGAATTTGGTGATTCAGAAAAGAATTCCGATTTTGCGTCCGCTGTCAATGTTGATCTGGGGGAACTGCTGCAAACTGTTTCTTTACTTGGAGAATCTCTACCTGTACTGCAGTCCAAAAAGGTATTTTGTTTAATTACTGAACCATTCTTTAAATTAGATTTTGGTGATGTTTCAGCAATCTTTTCAGTTCGTTGATTTTCTTTTATGGGCCCACGGCTGAGACTTGTAGTGATATTCGTTGTAGTTGTTAATTTAGGGATCCCTGTGCTAGATTTGTTAAACTCCTCGGATGACATTTTTGTGTTATTACTTTTAATTGAATGATTCCACGATGTGGCAATCTTCAATAAGTCACTTTTAATTGGACTGTCCAGGTCAGTTGTCAGCAAAGTTTTCTTGTTCTGTGGGTTTTGATTGTTGCCCACACTGATTTCAACATCAACAGTAGTTCCCAACCTGATTTCTTTTCCATTAGCTGGAAAAGTTTTAGTTATGGTTTCAGAAGTTTTAAACTCATCAACAATCGTCTTTGATGTTGTTGTATGGTTCATTGGGAGCGGCTTAGAGGGAGGAACACTCGCTATTTCTCTTGGTTTGGAAGTTAAACGAGGTATAACACGAACAGGCGGTTGCTTCAAAGGTTCATCTAGAGAGGTAACTTGTGTTAGATTTGACATCAGTGATGTTGGTCTTCTCCATCCAGCGGATGATTCCACTTTCTTTTCCACTGGCGTAAACGAAGGCAGTTTCTTAGTCGTTGGGGGAGATCTGATGATGTTGGTAGAATGGTATGGCATAGTGTTTGTATTATTATGACTGGAATTTTTATCCTGGACATTATCAGCATATTTGTCACTAGCCATTAGCAGCGACTGGGTCTTTCTCCTGGATGTAAATGGACTGAACGGAGATTCATACCTGTTATAAATAATAAAATACATTTAAATAATATCGTAATTAACATGTATTTGCATGAAAAAATCTGAAATTTCAAGAAGTTTACAGATGGAACAGATAAACAACAAAACTTGAAGCAAACTCAGTATCGCGCATTCTGTTATGTAATAGAATGGTTTATTTGTGCTCTAGTATTCATTTTCTTCCATGATATATTTGAAAAGTGTTACGAAAGAGAGCTTTTGCTCTTCTATCACTGAACTCTCAATATTATTTTCAGCTTTAACTTAATAAAAGTATATTTTCAGCTTTTCCTAACAATGATACACTACCCAACAATGGGTATTTTATAAAAAAACTTTTCGACTAATTAGAGTATCAGTTAGTAATGATTTAAAAATATATCGATAATCCTTTCCGGCAGGCTACCTTTTAAAGTCGGAGTTTTGATTTAAAAAAAAAAAAAAAAAAAAAAAAAAAAAAAAAAAAGGTAGGCAGTCTAATTAGGCCTAGAGGAATACACAAATAAAATTTTGTGAAGATAGCACTTATCGTTTTAATTCTGTGGGTGTGCCCAAAGTGGCACATTGATTGAATAGAGCTCCTGAAACGAGCATTGTTGTCAATAAACTGACCGGTGAGATGTGGAGAAACAAAGAATACAGACTCTTAGTTGTCCTAGATTATCGGTGAGCCCGGTCTGGGCACACCTAGGGTTCGCCCTTTGATTTTAGGCAAGATTTCAAGGTAAAAATTTAAAACTAATATAGAATAAGAAGATTAGCATACAGCCAAAAAAAATAACATAGAAATTTCTTTTCAAACAATTCCTTTTGTACCCTAAAAAAAATCTGGAAGATTTCTTTGAAAAATGAAGGTCTTAAAAAACTAAACATGGGTAAAATATATGGACTGGCTTGTGCTGAGCTGCCATCTACTATAAATAAAGAAGGTTCAGAATAGCCTATATTAACCTATAAATCCTTTTTCATTCAATTTTTCTGTGCGTACCGAAGGAAAGTTTTAGGTGTGTCCACACCGGACACACTGTGCCGCAAAGGGTTAAATAAACCAACACTGCGGATTTCTTCAATTTCCTTATTTCGATGCAACCTAATGTCACTACAGTCTATTTATAAACACAAGCTCGTCCATAATATACCTCATTTATTAAATATTGCATCACCTGGTGAATTTTTACTTTAAAATTTATGAATCAGTTCTTTGGAAGGAAACGTGAACGGAATTTTCAAAAGCTTGGCGGGGGGAAATAAGGATATTTTGAGAAACCAGGTAATAGAATTAAACTCAAACAAATTAAATGCAAAAAAATAGTAAATTTTATTTAAATAAAAATTTAAGCAGAAGATTTTTAAATTCATCACAAAGCTTTCTGTTTTTGTTCTATAACTGAAATGTCTCATATTAAATTATCTTTAAAATTTTAAATTTTGTTTCAATATTTTTCCTTAATACACATCTCTTGTCATCTTTTAAATTCTGATTTTGTCCTGTTTTATTTACTGCTGAAGTAAAAATAGCTTTTGCTGTGGAAATGTATTTAATTTTCTTTCAATAAAAAATGTTACATATTTTTATGTTCGTTATATTATAAATATTAAAAAAATTATAGATATATATTTTTGACGAGAGTCTGTTTAACCCTTTGCGGCACAGTGTGTCCGGTCTGGACACACCTAAAAATTTCCTTTTGTACGCACAGAAAAATTGAATGAAAAAGGATTTATAGGTTGATATAGGTTATTCTGAACCTTCTTTATTTATAGTAGATGGCAGCTCAACACAAACCAGTCCATGTATTTTAGCCATGTTTAGTTTTTTAAGACCCTCATTTTTCAAAGAAATCTTCCAATTTTTTTAGAATATAAAAGGAATTGTTTGAAAAGAAATTTCTATGTTAGATTTTTGGCTGTATGCTTATCTTCTTATTCTATATTAGTTTTACATTTTTACCTTGAAATCTTGCTTAAAATCAAACGGCGAACCCTAGGTGTGCCCAGACCGGGCTCACCGATAATCTAGGACAACTGGGAGTCTGTATTCTTTGTTTCTTCGCATCTCATCGGTCAGTTCATTGACAACAATGCTAGTTTCAGCACTCTATTCGAAGCTCTATTCAATGTGTCACTTTGGGCTCACACAGAGAATTAAAACGCTAAGTGCTATCTTCGTAAAATTTTACTTGTGTATTCCTCTAGGCCTAATTAGACTGCCTACCTTTTTTTTTTAAATCAAAACTCCGACTTTAAAAGGTAGCATGCCGGAAAGGGTTAATTACGGTAAAACACTCGAAGGCTATCTGCCTAAAAGAATTGATGCATTCTTGGAGTCTTTCTAAGGAAACTAGAGTTACACATGAGGAAAGCCACGAAAACACCCATTCAGCCAGACCGTTCGTCGGGGTTCGACCCCCAGACTCGCTGGTGGGCCTTTCAGAAAGGAGGAGGAAAATACCTAATAAGCGTCATGTAAATGAAAACACGGACAAATAGCTACTACAGACATATTTCCTGGTTTTAAATGAATATGGGTGATAGGAAATTATTTGTAGTTACAAAAGTATTTCGAAACTGCTACACATTTAAATGTATCTTGAATGGTTACTCGTAGAGACTCACGCTTCCAGCTAATGAAATTATCCAAATAAAGCAGTACTTTAGAGTACAACAATTTTGATCACATTATATGTTTTAGTAAAAAATATTCGAAATTAAAATTTTTACGCAGAAGTCGTAGAAAAAATGGTGAATAAAAATATGTCATCCCCAGCTGAATCAATCAGGGAAAAGAAATGAAAAAGTATCCATTGTTGATATAAACAAAATTGCTTGAGGTATAATTAGCTTTAATTTTTTGGAATAGTATCAAATTATTGCTCAAGATAATTATGAATGTTAAATTTTCAAACGCAAATTTCTTAAATGTAACTTTAATGTTAGAAAAGCATAAGTTTAGAAAAAGTATTTCAAATTACTCTCTGCAGAAATGCACGAATCAAAATTCCGCATGCAGTGAGGTTTAGGTATATATGTGACTTAATATGTGCGTTTTTACAGCGTGGTAGTGGTTTCACTTATATAATTTTGACAATATGCTTAGCTTCAATTCTGAATGTCATAAGCTAGTCTTGCCTCAAAAGGAATTAAATAACATGAGGCGCAACTTACTAACTGGAACTTTTAGTAAAAGAGCCCATACAAAAATTTAAATTTTGCACATTTTTACTACAAGGATTCACGGATCAAATCTTTCATAATCCGAAAGCTTGCTTCATTTCTCGCGCTAGAATTATGAATCTTTAACCAACAGTTAAACAACTATTTAGTCATGCAATCTTTGGAAATACTTTGCACATACGTATGATGAAAAACAACAATAAAAACTAACGACATACAGGAAGACCCCGCTTAACGCGGGGAATACGTTCCATCAAAGTAGAGCGTAATGCGAAACAGCGCTAAACGAGGCTATCTTTACATGTAAATATTGGGGTTAGGGGAAGATGGCTAGGAAATTAGTTAGGTATTAAATTTAAAAAGTATGTTTTTTTAATAAAAATAAAACCAAACATTTATTTCTTAAAGCCCAAATTAATACCACATTATTATTTCTTGCAAAAATAAAAACAAAATATGAATAACAAAACGAATATTCTTAAAAAAAAAAAAAAAAAAAAAACAAATAAAATTCTCAGTCAGTCATATTTAGTTAGCCTTCCGCGTTTTCAGTGTTCTGCCTTTTTGTGACAAAATCATCTAATGTTGTTTGCCTTTTTCTTTTGCGTTGTTCTCTTAAAAGTTCTTCATAAACGGATAGAGCATCTCTAACACCACGCCTTACTTTTGAGCTCCTGTCAAAATTCGGATCATTTTCAATGAATTGATCCATTATTTCAGTTATGGTAGACAAACTCCTTTTTACAAACGCCATCGAAAGTTCTTTCTGCTCTTCTTCTGAATCACTGCTGTCAACATTTTTGTTTTCTTCTTGTTCAGTTAATTCCTTGAGCTCATCATTAGAAAGACTAGCCGCTGCTTCTTGAATTATTTCTTCGACATCTTCCACATTTACCCCTTCAAAATATGTCTGTACAATACCGCACCAAACAAGAAATACAAGTACACTCTTTCAGATATGTATTTGAAACCTATCGCTGCATAATATTTCGGGGAATCCCCGTATGCTGCGAGCGATTTCGTGGAATCCCCGGTTTGAAATAAAAGAGCGCTAAACCGAAACAGCGCTAAACGAAACAGCGTTAAGCGGGGTCTTACTGTATTTAAAAAAAGTAATAAAAAATCTGAAAGCTTTCAGATTTTATGTCATGCCCAAACCGCCGTTTTTTTAACGTTTTGTGTGTTACCTATACACGGTTATTCAAAAAGAAAGAGCAGATTGAAACATGTATTTCTTCCAAACTACAAAAGATAGAAACATGATTCTAACGTTTAATGGATAGAGAAAAGTGTACAATTTAGTACGGGTAAAAGTTCCAATCATGGCCGCATTGGCGCTGTTGTTTGTTCTGGTATTATTTGTCGGTTGGTAGTCTGTAGTGAAATGGCGGCGACACCACAGCAGAAGTCTTTTTGTGTTCTACAGTTGGCAAAACTAGAGTCCATTGTTGCAGTTCAGCGAGCATTTCGCCGTCAATTTAATAAACAACCACCGCGTCATAAGCAAATTTACGAGTGGCATCGAAAATCCGTAGAAGATGGTTGCATCTGCAAAGGGAAAAGCACGGGACGTCCACGCACATCGAACAAGAATGTCGAGCGTATTTGGCACACTTTACGAAAGGATCCCAAAGAAATCCACATCGCGAACAAGCAAAGAGCTTAAAATTCTTCAACCAACGGTATAGCGAGTTCTAAAACATCGTCTGCACATGGCCATACAAACTGCAGTTACTGAATGCATACATTGAATGCATACCATAATTGCAAACTTTTCTCTATCCATGAACGTTAGAATCATGTTTCTATCTTTTGTAGTTTGGAAGAAATAAATGTTTGAAACCTGCTCTTTCTTTTTGAATAACCCTGTATTAAATATCATGTTCTTCGCATTTAAACCATAAAATTCAATTCAACAGCAATATCATAAAACAGTTTAAAAAGAGGATGTCTTTAGAACTCCGATACAGAGTTTTTCTACAGAGTCTTAATCTGGAGATTAAGATGTCTTTTCCCCCTCCCCTTCCGCACATTGTTGCCATCGCTCGTTTTGAAATCGTTGAATTTGTTAATCAAAAATTTGTTAAAGTTTTACAGAATATGAAATAGATAATAAAACATATTCTAAATTTGGGCTTTTAGACGACTATATTTGAATGGAGGACTGCGTTATTTAGAATTTGATGTCTCTGGGTACTGTTGTTTTTTCACAGTGCGACAAACATGCATACATTTATGCAGACTCTTCATCATTTAATTTCTTATATATAATGCAAGGCTCTAATATTTGGTAGCAAGAATTTGAAAAGTGAAGCGCCGTCTATAGTGGACCAACGCAAAATGCTAAAACGAAATAAAACGAAATTAATAGCCCTTCTGGGCAAACTGATTCTTTAGGCTAAAAAGGATTATGTATTTTTTCAAAAGAAGTTAACTGGGTACCACGGAGTATGAACAAGGAGGGGAAACTGGTATTACAACTTTTTCCAAAAATGGTCCACTTTTGTCGCATTATTTATAGAGGGCGCTGCAATCGTTAGCTGTTCTACTTTTCGTAGGATTTGCCATAGGCAGCAATACAGAAAATATTGATTTGATATCAATTTCCAGTATGAGTAATTCTTGTAATGCAACCTGCTTCGTCCCCGGATACAACAGTGGTTATACATCTGTTAGGCAGAAGAATAAAAGCTTGGAAATCAAGAATCCAAGTATATTTAGAGCTCCAAAGGTGAGCAACATTTATATCATGCCTGATCACAGTCAGACGAATTTATATAACTTTACAGAACGTCTGGATTGCTAGTAAATAAGAGGGTATTTAAAAAGTAATAGACTGGAAATTAGTTAAATATTTCACAGAACTTTAAATTGGAAATTAGTTAAATATTTCACATAACTTATGTGCATTTGCATTTCGTGCATGAAAGCAGGCAATCCTGAGATTTTTAAAGTTAAATAAATTTCTGGAATTATGCAAGAATGATGGAATATTTGCCTCTTTATTTCATTTACAGAAAAGAAGATTAACTCATTTCCCCTTCTTTTCCGTTTGAAGTAGGTTTTTATAATAAATGGAAATGAACACTATGCTGCTTAAAATTAACTTCACTTGCATGGTTGAGTGAAAACATAACAGCAGATAAGTGTAATGAAAAATTGATTTTCCATGAGATAAATTCAGCATATTAAATAAGTTATGAATATTATAAAATCATGCCACATAATTGAATGGCTGTTAAAAATTAAGATTTAAATCTTGATACACTGCACAGTGAGAACCATTATGCACAAGGATTTTAAATTTGAATGTGTAAAACTATTCAAGCGTTAGTGCTGCAATTAAATTTTAATTTGCCATTACTATTTTCAAATTAAATTTTAATCATTAAATATTAAATTTGCATCAAAGTCACGTTAAAAAAATTGCATACAACAAGAGTATTTTAATTTTGTATGTAACTGAATTCTGATATTTATACATACTTGTTGAAATATATTTTACAGGATCCTGTGCTGCTAGACAAATGGAGACATGCAATTCCTCGGGCCGACCGAATACTTTCAGAGAAGGATGTTGTATGCGAGCATCATTTTGCAGAAAGTGATATAAAACAATTTTACGAGACGAAATTGTTCGATGGGACAATATTCAAGTTGGAAATGGGCCGCCCTAGACTCCAAGAAGGAGCAATACCCTCAATCTTTCCAAATCTGCCTTTATATTTATCCAAACCGTCATGTAAAAGAAAAGCACCTGCTGCAAGAAATGTGCCTGTGAAAAGAATGCTCCATTGGTTGCAGATAATGTTGCCGCTACTAAAAAGGATTTTACATTTCCACTGTTGACTGAAAGTCTGCAGAAGATTTCCAAACCGCATTGTTTGTGGACTGTAAATTCTGTAGTTGAATTCATTGTATGTGCTCGATGGGCAACTAATTACATGTGTGAAAAAAGGGTTATAATTGATAAAGATATGACTGTAAAGGTTAGTTTTGTTTTGACATTTTTATAATTTCAGTATTGCACGTCAAACTGCACTTGGTACTATTGTGCTACACATTCATTGCTTTTTTTTTTTTTTTTTTTTTTCATGTGTAATTTATTCTTCACTTATTTATTGTTATTTTTTTCAGATTTCTACGTTATCTTTTCTGAATTTTTGAGCTATGAATAGATGGTTTTTTTTTTTTTTTTTTTTAATTAGGGAAATTGTCAGAGATGATACTTGTCTGTAGTGTCTTAGAAGGATTATTTTTCAATCAAAAACATGTTCTCAATCAAAAATTTTCTCCTCGTAGGGTAATATGCATCTGTCAATTTCCTCGTAGGGTAATATGCATCTGTCAATTTCTTCCTAGGGTAATATGCACTGTGATCCAATAAAATATTGATCTTGCATTTCTAATTCATTGGTCAGTGTGTGTAATACCTTATAAGCAATGATATTAATTGTATATTATTTTATAGATAATATTTCTTGCTTTCTCATTGTTTTGATTTAATAATGGTATTTTGTTCCCATGTCTAAATAATTGGGTGCTAACTGGTCCAATTTTAATTTTTCAGCCAGTGTATATTGTTTGTCTTGCTGGTTTGTATGTTTTTATCCAAACATGATGTGTTAATATGTACTAAAGATGCAATACCTGAATTTAATAATTTTTATGTACCTTTAATTAGTATGGCTAATGTTATGCAAATGCTAATTGTTATACTATATCATTAGATTGCAATGCTTGTTTGAAACACAAATTCACTTTAGATCCAGGTGAATCAGCAATCTTGCTCAGCAAATTTCTGATCCATGTACTTCAGAAATTACCAACATTTTGAAAAATCCTGCCTTGCTTAATTCAGCAAAAGTACATAATTTCTTCATAAATGATTCAATAAGCTTCTTATGTTTGTTTTGAATAAATGAAATAATGCTGGGTAAAAGTTTACAATTGTATGCCCCTTGTTTATTGGCGATTCTTTTTTGACGCCAAGATCGGCACCAGGAAGGCACAATTTCACGATGGCCGCTACACAAAATCAAAATAAGAAGTCAAAGAATTGCACAAGATCTGTGTCCATGTTTTACTTAAAAATCCCATCTGTTTTTACTTAAAAAAAACATCCTAGAATTGCACAACCTAGGCAAGGCACACTGCTTTAAATATGTCCATGTACACATCAATCTATTTTCATTTAAATAAAATCGGGAAGCTAAAACAAAGTTAAAACTATCGTGGTAACCAGAAGTGAGGTTTCATCATCACCAAACTTTTTAAAAAATGTCGCCAATCGAAGGGGCACCCAATTCTACACTAGAGCCTAATGCTGAATTAGTTGTTGTCCCACTAGCACTGAAATCCTGTGAAAATGAGAAATTTCTCATATATCCCATCTTGGAGTTCAGAAAACGTATGAAATCTTATTGAAAGATTCTTTTAGAAGGGTATGTATAATGACACAAAGAATTTTGTTCTCCCGTATCATTTACGTAACAAATACAAATCTTTCACTCCTAAACAGGCTCCATTTAAAGCTATCAGAATACCTAAATATCCAAATGACTTTTTTCCGTGTATATTGGTTGTCCTGTACGAAATTGTGGACATGATCTCATTATTCTAGATCATTTTTCTAAACATCTTGTTTTTTAAGACCTCTCAAAAATCTCACTGCTGAAACTATTACAGCACATTTATTACAATATATGTACCTGGAAGACCAGAAATGATCTTGATTTAGACACAATATCCTTCACTGGTGTTTGAATCGATTACCAAATGCTTGGATATTAAATTATCTCACTGTATTCCTTAGAGACCTGAGTATAATGAACATGTTAATACCTGCATCAAGAGCTCTTTGCTTATACTTCATGAAAAAGGTATTCCATTTGAAAATGCATTGCTTATCCATCAAAATATTTATAATGGTACTGTTCATCCTTCAACTGGTTATTCTCCTAATATTCTGCATTTTGGAAGAAAATTATCATTACCTTTTAATATGTTTAATCCTGATCCAAGGCCATTCAGGTGGAAAAATCACATTATTTGTGTGATCTTTTAACACAACTAAAACTAAGTTATGAGCATGCCTATGAGATGTTGGAATAAAGCAAATAGAACTGAATACTTGAAAAATGCCATATTAAGATCATTCAATGTTAATGATATAGTGTATGTGAAATCTAAGGTTACATTCCAGCATAGGTTTTCGAAAACTTTTTCTTCTAAAGTAAATGATGTAAATTATGTTATTTGTGCACTTGACAATGATTTTTTCTCAGCCATTTATAGAATTCACATCAGTTGCCTTCGTTTGGCTCCTAAAAGATTCTCCCACACTTCAGTACACTTAATTCTTTTTTTTTCACTCATTTCTTATACTATCATAGAACATTATTACAAGTTATGCAATATGTTAAATTGTTCGAAATTTAATTTTATGTGTCTTTTGTTGATTTCTTGATTGTGTGAGCATAATCATTAGAGTTTAAGGCTTGATCACCCTTAAATATCATTTCGAGATTCAACGACATTGTGCCTAATATATAAGTGCATAAGTGTTTGATTTCAAAATTTCCTGGTATGATGTGATTATAATGGTTTGTATTGTTTTTTTCATCCTGTATGTGATTTATCTAATTAAGTGTAACTGGGGATGTACAAAAATTGCATTTTGCTTTATCATAGAAATACTTCATTTACAATTCTGTACTGTGTACTTGCAATATGGTATATTCGAAAATTTTATGTACCATATTTATATCATGCACTCATATGTATTTTGCATAAAAAGTTGCTTGTATTGAATTATGGAATATTTAAATAAGTGGTTCTATGTTTTATTGTTAAAAATTTTGTTTTTGTGTAGATGGCATGGTTTTGGTTATACCTAAATGAAAAAATCTTTTCCATTTAAAATGTAATCTATGTAATATGTATTTCAGACTGTTAGCTCCATAGTGATTGTCATGATTTTATATGAGGCTGGCACCATGATACCAGAATTTTTATTATGCACATAATTAATTTTCCTCCTTCCCTCAAAAAGGGGTGAATATCTGATGAGGTCACATTAAATTTATGTCCTTGGAATTATTACAGCCATCTAGAACCAGATAAGGGATTTCATCTGGCGACAATATTTTTGCCAACAGGTTTGTTATAACATGACCAAGCTATGTCATCAGACAACTAATTTCAGTTCAGTTTGTCTGCAAAGTGAAAGAAATATTACGATTGGTTGTTCTCGCGGTGGAATATTTTCATTTTGTTTCTTATCTTCTGCATTGTCTGTACTTTTAATTTTATCAAGAATTCCTTTTTTTTTTATTTCGCTATTCTAAATTATGATATGAGTGCCCTTTCTAAATTCATTCTGGTCCTTAATGTATTGATGCAAAATTTAATTAAAAAGTCCTTCTTAAGTGTTTTTACCTTTTTTCTCATGTGAAGACTTTATTCGTTTAAAGCTTTTTGTTTTGGCTTTCCAAGTTTTTATCCTATTAGCTGAACCCCTCTTTTGATGATGATAAATTTTTAATCTTTGATGATGTGGAGATAAAGGCTTCGTGCTAAGTGCTCCATAAATTAAAATTTCTTGATCCTTGATATTTTCATTGGTTGAAATGTGTAACTGTGCTAGCTTATAAATAGTGGGAATTAGTGAATCTCTTAGTCTATTCATTGTTTTTTCGCTTCCTCTGGATTTCTGCTGCGTGTACTCTTCTTGTTTCAAATATGTTGTAGTTGGCATTTCTTCGCCCTCTTTTGCAGTTAGCGGAATAAGCCCTACTACATTATGGTATTAGTACTGGAGATGTTTTATGTACCCCCCCCAAAAAAAAAAAGTGATGACAGCTGCCGTTATTTTCCGAATTTGAGAGACAGCCCTTATACTTTTCTTTCTGAAGTATGTTTGACTTTTTGTCTCCACTTACCGTATGAGAAATGTTGAATGTTGTTAACGAAGGCTGTGAAACTATACTCAGTGCAGAGAAATACAAATTTTTTACGTGCCAGGAGGGATTCTACTGTGGCGGACTTCATGCAATCAATATGGAGCAAAGTCTGACGAGAATCGATAAATAAACGATCTTTGAAAATGTATCCAGGACTCTTCTTTTCCTTTTATTGGACAGCTCACCATGACATGGCAAATACCATGATCCTACCTTGTGTAAGCCACTGTACTACTGAAGTATTCTCTTAACACTATAGCTCATCCTTGTGTGTAACAATATAAAACAATACTGCTAAGATTGTTTCGGGATTATTTATATAATTACTGTTACATTTTTATTAAATTTTTGTTATTTAATTGAACTTGTTTCTTTCATTGCGAGTCTTTAATCGTTGAAAAAGAGATATTAAATTGAGAATAAAAAAGTAAATAATTACTGCAAGAGAAAACAGACTTTAGTTTTGTATAGTTAATGATGTTTTTTAAATACCGCAGCAAGCATACATTAGGTATTCTGATATTAAACTGGTAGTTTTGCAACAAATGTAATTAGACTCTATTAGTAAATGATCAGTTCAACAAATGAAAATAAAAAATATGGGATCTTTTCCAGTAAAACATAACACATGGAAAATATTTTTTTCAAAAAAGCTACATGTACCATATGTATATATATATGTATTTGAAACTTAACAGCGAGAAAATATCATATCATTATAACTGTGATAAAATGTTTCTGAACATAAGAAATTCATCTTTTAGGCTATTGAATGGGATAGAATGACTTTGAAAACTTATTAACTACACTTAATTTCAGAACGAGAGTAATATATAATTTAACCATGGCCAACAGTTCAATGTCTTCATACAGATCCTTTGGAGGAAAAGAGCACATATACTTTTTTATGTTTCACGTGGAAAGACCAGGAAAATGCCCATGCAGCTAGCCTCTTGGCGGGATTCGAACCCAGGACCAAATTAGCAGTATTTGGTGACTTTTGCTGCTCAACTGCTGGTGGGAAAGAACAAGGTGCTTGCAAATTGAACACAAATTTAACGAATCACTCTAGCCTCCTATAGCTCACCATTGTGTAACAATATAAAACAATACTGCTAAGATTGTTTTGGGATTATATCATTACTATTAAATTTTTTAAAAATTTTTGTTATTTAATTGAACTTGTTTCTTTCACTGCGAGTCATTAATCGTTGAAAAAGATATATTAAATTGAGAATAAAAAAAGTAAATAATTACTGCAAGAGAAAACAGACTTTAGTTTTATATAGTTAATGATATTTTTTAAATACCGCAGCAAACATACATTAGGTATTCTGATATTAAACTGGTAGTTTTGCAACAAATGTAATTAGACTCTATTAGTAAATGATCAGTTCAAAAAATGAAAATAAAAAATAGGGGCATAACACATGCAAAGCATTTTTTTCAAAAAAGCTACATGTACCAATCTGAAACTTAACAGCGAGAAAATATCATAACATTATAACTGTGATAAAATTTTTCTGAACATAAGAAATTCATCTTTTAGGCTATTGAATGGGATGGAATTTTCCTCCTTTGGAAAGAAAAGTGGACATGTACTTTTAAAATAAAAAAGATCTGCATTATATTTTTAGTTAAAATACTGCATTTATTGGTTAGAAGTTAGTTCAAGCAGGACAAAATTAAAGATAGATTGAATTAGTCAATATTTTTTACTCTTTATATTTAATTATGAATAATATAGTTCAGCATAACCAAGCGTTCAGAATACTTAACTGAATTCAAATCCGAATTCTATTTTAAAATCTTTTGAAATCAATTTGAAACATACTTCTCAAATAACAAAGATATGGAAATTTTTAACAGAAAATGATAAAAATATCAAAATCAAAACTGACATAAAAAATTAACTGATTCATAAAAAAGAATAACTTATTATGATAGTACAGAAAACTTACTGACTGAAGCAAAAAATTCTATAAGCTTCATTAAAATTTCGCCACAGTTTATATCAAGCTGTGTATCTAAGCATTTTACAAAATGAGAGACGCGAAGAAACTATTCTAATTAAATTTAACATATATACAGCAAGTATTATTACTAGTAACATGATTATTTTTCTGAGGGGGAGGGACTGAAAAATAATCATTAAATTAATCATTCATAAAAAGTACAACAAGCCTTACAGCATGAAAGCTGTAAATTAATTTTATAATTTGAGGAATAAAATACAATCATTAGTGAGCAGAATATTATAACGTTGATAATAACGCAATCCATGACATTAAAAACATAAACATTTTTCATTCGGTAGTAAGCTTCGCCGCGTGGCTACTCGATAAATGTTTACATTTGGAACTACTAAGATGGAACAACAGCGCCATCTAGTGAACGCGACATTTTAGGACCGTTTTTCTACTAGGCAGTTTCACCTCCTTCATTATACTCCGTGCTGGGTACTATTCGGTTTCGAGGGCCGTAAAAAAATTGCAGCGAAAATGTATGCGCGAAAGCGCCAAATCTAGCAAACACGCCCATTTAACAGCGTGCCAAATCTCTCGTACGCGCTGATTTCAGATTGCGTAAGTTTATATAGTTCTATATTTCTTAAGACGCCATTGAAATACTAGTTTAATTTTTAATTCCTTTTTTGATATCCTATGGATTTAGCAATTTGGGAATTGCCTATGATGAAAAGTCTGCGATAGAATTTTGGGTAAAGTGCAGAATCACCCACAGCTTGACGCGTTTTTAAGAATTGCACATACTCGGTATCCATGTGCACATCGGTTTATTTTCACTTAAAAAAAATCCCAGAAATGACACTGCGCATACTTTATCTATGTACACATCGACCTTTTGTCACTTTTTAAGTAAAAGAAAATTGACAAAATTCCAATTGTTTTTATCCTTGTAAAAAACGACAAAGAAATAAGCGGGCGATTCTGCACTTTACCGAAAATGTTTTCAAAGAAAAGGCATCATTCATTATAGAAAATTATGTTTGAACAACCAACGACATGACATTATGCTTTAACGATAACTCGGTAGCGAAATATTATATAAAATTAACCGTTCATCTAAATTAAAACATGAATATTTAGATTGTTATTTACTACTATACTTCCTTTCTTGCGTTAGGGTTGCCGCAATTACTTTTGGCAGCACTGGCATCAACAATAGTTTGGCGATTTTTTACTGCCCTCGAAACCGAATGGTACCGTTAACTGCAACAATAAAGATGTCGATTAGCAGTAATAATAATAATAAAACTATGAACAATTTTACCTAGGTCTCATTTTCGCATCTTCTTGTTGGTTTGGCGATGGGAGATGATAGCCATTACTAACTCTTGGGAAAGTATTTTCTGGCAAGTGTGCTCGAGATTCCCGCTTAGGAGATGGTGATTTTTTCCTCGGAAGACTGGATGAACGATAATGGTACGAATCAGAAGCGTGTTGATGGCGATTGCTGTTTCGGTGGGCTATACGAGGCGTAGCGGGTGTGGAAGACAAAACTTGAGAGTGACGTTCCTTGCTTGTCGTTCTGTTCAGACTACTCGATCGAACCTGAAAACGAATTTAATGCATTCCATCAGTAAATTTAACAGTACCCGTTTAAAATTAGCAGCATACCTGTTTAAAATTAGGTATTCTGTTCGAAATCGATGCGTGTGCATAATTGTACCTCAGACATCTATTAACCCTTTATTATGCTGCAGGTCTGTTGCTGGAATAAATATTAAATAACTAGAAGACACTAAAAGCAATACCTAGTATCAAAATCTCTCCAAATTTATTGCGTTTCATTACCCCTAACAGTCAAAAGAGAAATTTGGTCCTTATAACAATATACCTAACACTATAATACTTTTTAAAACTTCCGCACTTATTTCAGTACCGGTGTGCAGATTTTTATACCCGCCATCAAACAGTAATGGGTAGCCAGTCGAAAATATCGTAAAGAAATCTAGGATTTAACTTCCCACAGATCATTAGCAATGTATCAGCTCTTACAATGTAGCTCTTACAACAACTACAATGATGTAGATTCTACTAAAAATTCTACTAAAACATGAAAAATGTACAATACCTTAACCTGGATTCGAACTCGGGACCTTCCGACTGTTAGCCGGACATGCTTCCAATTACATCACGAAGGCACGCGGTAGAGAGGAAGAAATTGAATTATAAGGGTGCAAACAGTATATCTCTATGTCAGGTAAATAATCGTACTGATGAGTGTCTTGTGGCCTATGTTACCGTGTAAGTACATATGTTACCGTGAAAGACGGAAATTCGAGAATGTCGACTTTCACCGGAGAATGTCAACATTCACCAAATACGTCGGTGAAAGATCGAATATTGCATTACATTCTTGTACATTCGGACCCTCACCGGTGTATGTCGACAAACACAGATATGCTCTGGTGTAGGTCGAAAAGAGAGGAGTAGACAAAGAGGCGACTGGCTGTTTCCCGCCAAATCCTTTGTTCTGGTGGGAATCAGTCAGCTTTGTCAGTCTTATGCAAGGTTTGATGGTGCAAGCAACGTTTTCTTAATTTTTTTTTCGATACCCTAATTTATACTGAATGGATACAGCAGTGAATCGGGATCTTTTTCTTAAAAAGTTAAATGCATTAATTGCGAGTAAACGATAAGACATGTTTTTTGTTTTTTATTTTCTCAAGCAAGTACTCTAAAAATACTTTCTGAAAGTGGTTTCTACATAAAATCTAAGTGCAACACACCTTTAGAATTACAGACGATTAAAATGTTTCCACGTTTATAAAAATTAATGATAAAGAGAAGTTAATTGTACCATTAAAACCAGGAGAAACGAATATACAGTATTATGTTACCAATGAGGAATTGTTCAGTATACTATATAAAACTCACACCAGAATATTCCACGGAGGAAGAACACATATGCTTAAAGAGTTGCAAATTAAATACAAAAATATTACATATGAAGTTGTAATGTTGTATTTAAATTTAAGCAAACAGTGTCAAATGAAACACAGTGCACCTAAGAAAGGCATTGTTGTGAAACCAATGATCAGTTCTGAATTAAGATGTCAAGTTGATCTGATAGATTTGCAGTCAAACAGAGATGGCGAATATAAGTTCATAATCGTGTATCAAGATCATTTAACTAAGTTTGTCCAGCTACGACCTTTGAAAACTAAGATAGCTGAAGAAGTAGCGTATAACGTTCTTGCAATATTTTTAACATTTGATGCTCCAGCAATATTGCAATCAGATAATGGTAGAGAATTCAGTAATCAAGTCATATCTGAATTATGCGCTATGTGGAAAGATGTTAAGATAGTTCATGGAGGTTACAGCCGAAAACATCGCGACAAAAACACCGCAGACGAAAAGGTCGCGGAGAAAACAACGCAAGGCGAAAACGTCGTGCTACAAAACATCGTGGAAGAAAACATCGCAAAGAGAAAACATCGCAGTTCTAAAACATCGTGGTACAAAACATCGTCGTTGAAAATAAAGCGGTTCAAAAACTTCGCAGTTTAAAAACATCGTTGTCGAAAATACTTCGCAGTTTAAAAATATCGTCGTCGAAAATATCGTGGTAAAAAATAAAGTATCTACAAATCATCGTATGACGATAACATCGCAGACATGCTTTTTTCAGGCATGCTTTAATAAGTGTAAATGGATATTCCCATAATGATTTGTGAGCGCAAGATGGAAAGAAAGATAATTTTTACTTTCATATATTTTATTAATTAATAAATTTTTGCTGAGAAAATAAAAAGTTAAACTTAAGCATAGAAAAGTAATGCAACTTATAGCACTTAATAGAATTTTAAACCGACATAGTTAACTAACAAAGGCCATTAATAAATAATTTTTATAAAATTTTTACTGGTCATTTTTCATGAAAAGTATAATCTATAAGTTGCATTTAATTTTCTATGCTTAAGTTTCCTTCTTACGTTTTCAGCAAAAATTTATTAGTTAATAAAAAAAATGTGAAAGTAAAAATTATCCTTCTTTACATCATGCGCTCACAAATCATTATATGAATATCCATTTACAATTATTAAAACCTGAAAAAAAAAGCATGTCTGCGATGTTATCGTCATGCGATGATTTGTAGATACTTTATTTTTTACCACGATATCGACGATGTTTTGTACTACGATGTTTTAGAACTGCGATGTTTTCTCTTTGCGATGTTTTTCCCACGATGTTTTGTAGCACGACGTTTTCGCCTTGCGTTGTTTTCTCCGCGACGTTTTTGTCCGCGATGTTTTTGCCGCGATGTTATCGGCGGACACCTTCATGGAAAGCCTCGTCACAGTCAAACACAAGGTTCAGTTGAAAGGACCATTCAGGATATACAGAATATGCTAACTGCATGGATGAATGATAACGATACAAATAAGTGGACAGGAGGTTTACCCTTTGTTCACTTTGCCAAGAACAATTACATATATTGAAGGAATACGCCAAAGTCTTTATGAAGCCATGTTTGGCGTTAAAGCAAAAAGAGACATAGCATCGTCTTTTTTGCCTAGCGAACAAATCGCAAATATCGAAACCGAAGAATAACTCGAAGAAACTGCAAGTACTTTAGAAACTGAAGAACAGCTTGAAGAAACTGGTAATACTTCTGAAACAAATTTGAGTGGTGGTCATACCGAAAACCATATTCCAAAGAAAAATATTGAAGAGGACTTGTAATCTACTACGTCTTCATATCAAGTTCTGACTGAAAATCACGAGTTAATTTCTATAAAAGGAGCGGCTGCGAAAGAGAATCTTCATCTGCAACAAAAATGTTACGAACCTCACAAAAACAATTTCCTCCTGCTCAAATTGGTGATGTTGTTGTTGGAGTAGAAGACTCTGACTTCTATAAACTTGCAAACGAGAATGGTACCCTCAAGCAGCTTTACACACGTTGTTAAATATTTGCATAATCGTCTGTAGTAATGGCAACCGCCGTCAATAAAAGGTGGTGCTTTTCTTGGTAGCGGCGCAGTTCATTTTCAGTTCGAAGCAGAGCAGCCCTGCCCAGAGGAGATTTGAGGGGATGATGGTTTCCAGTTCCAGTCCAGCCTGGCTTCCGGTCCAGTCCAGCCTGGGTTACAGTTGCAGTCCAGTCTGGGTTCCAGCCCAGTCCGAGTTCCAGTCCAGTCTGTGTTCCAGCCCAGTCCGAGTACCAGTCCAGTCCAGTTCCAGTCTGGCGTTTTTTAGTCCAGTTCAACTTAAATGGGGAGTTATGCCAGAGGGACCAGACGGATTTTTGTCCTTATAAGATGTGTTCTTTTCCTCAGTCGCCGAATAGCTGACAGTTCAAAGCATTCCTAGGAATTTGAATGTGCGCGTATTTTTCCACCTAAGATGTTAAGTTTGTTCATAATGTTAAGTTATCATCATTTTGAAAATTTTAGTTGAATAAACCTTTAAGTTTGGACAAGGTTTGTGTTCTTCAGAAAATCAAGATTCGAAGTCAGATATATAAAATAACATTAACATAGGTTTTAACGTGAAGAAACAACACACGTAAATCAGTTCGTAATTTGTATAGAAAAGTTAGTTTCCATAGATGAGGCTTATTTTCAAGAAATGTCGCTGATAGAAGCAGCTGCAGCTAATTCTAGAAGCGGTGGGCAAGGCTATATGCGCTGTCGTTGCAAAAGGAAGTGTTCCACAAATAAATGCAGTTGTAAAAGCAAGGGCCTCTTTGTGCAATTCAAAGTGTCATAATAGTTTAAGTTGTTGCAATAAATAAGATGTGAATCACATAATTTAGTAAGTTTTTTATTACTATTATTTTATCTTCTCGTTTAGAAAGTACTGTATAATTAAGTAAGTTTTTAATTTGTATTATTTTCCTTTCTTATTTTGAATGTACTGTGTGTTTTAAGTTCTTACGTTCTTATTTTAAGTCTCAAGTGCGTTTTTTCGCGACTGAATTACGGAGAAGAAAATATAATATTCTTATATGTTCGACATTTACCGGTTAAGTCAGAAATAAGAGTATTTGGAAAATATTTCGGACATACACCAAGCGACTATGTGAATGTTGACATTCACCGGTGAAACGACATTTTCCAACGACATTCTACAGATTTCGGTGTTTCACCGTAATATATGTTTCACAAACATTACAAACATATTACAAACATTGTCTTGTATAAGTTACATGAAACTTATAATACTTAGATATAATATATTGTAAAGGCTCTTATTTTCGCCAAGCTTTAATTTTCGCGATTTTCGCGAGCCCGTCGTAATCGCGAAAATTTAAGCCTCATGAAATACTTTTTTTTTTTTTTTTTCAACTTTCTCAACTTAGGTACTTTTGAAATTTTTCAACTTTCGGTTCTGTTCTTATAAAATTCGCGAAATTTTCAACTCGCGAAATCACCAACATATTTATTTTCGCGAAAATTACGGCCTGCGAAAATAAGGACCTTTACAGTACTTAATACTTACATATGATATACATAACACTTAGATATAATAATACTTAGATGCACATAATACTTAGATATAATCAGCATGAAGTTGGAATTAAAGTTTAAAAAATACGT